TTTTAGGCATTAATTTTTCTTATTCTCATTAAATATAATTTCAAAAGTATATATTTAAGATGTATAAAAATATATATTTATAACAGTAAATCTAAAATAGTGCACAAAAAATTTCTATATTCAATATGTACTGTATCAATAGCAAAATCAATATGCATGCTGCAACCTTGGCGCAAAAGTGCAAAGTGGGTCCTTAATTAGGTAAAACCTCATATTAAACTCTTAAATTTACCTCAGATTCTTAATTAAATTCTTAGATTTTTATCAAAGTAAATAAGCCCTTGAACTTATTAATTTAGATAATTTAACCATCTTCCCTATTATAATGTACTGAACATTTGTTTATACCTTATTTACATAAATAAGATTAATACTTGTCATATAGATAATAATATATCAATACCTTATCCACACAAACCATGTATAAAAGGGTCTTAAGTCAATAGTAAAAAAAAGGAGTTCAATTACATAAATAATCAAATTTAAGATCTTTTTTATTCTTTTTTCTTTTTCTGTTTTTTTTTAATATTAAAGGTGAGCCTCAAAACCTCACACTTGTGAAACTTTCTCTGAGAATTATTTTACAAAGGAGATATGACCCATGAGGACGTTCTCAAATTTAAAATCTTATTTACTTTAATAAAACTTTAAGAATTTAATCAAGAGTAAGTTACACAGCTTAACTAAGGGTTTTGCGCACTAGTTAAAAATAAAGATCTTTGCGGTTTTCCTCTTCCTTTACTCTCCCGCCCTAATCGTCTTTCCCGCTTCTTCGGGGCTAAATAGAGAACTTTCTCAGGAAAGAAGATTTTAACAGTTTATACTGCAAATTTCCTCCAATGAACTCTCAAGAGCTCACATTGGTCTTGACGGCCACTGTCATCGGTGCCATAGTCTCCGCATTTGCATTCCATTTCTACTTCAACCCTAGAAAACGGTTTTTCCGACCTTATTCTTTTCAGAACGGCGTGGATCCACAGAAATGCTCCTCTCTGGATCCTTTCAATCCTTCGAAACGGGAGGGGTTTGTTAAATGATTGCTTAATTTCTTCTCTTACCCTGTTCATCAAGCTCTTAATCATTTTTAAGGATTCAAATCTTTTTGCTGGTTGATTTCATTCTTATTTGACATTGTTGTTTATTTATTGTTAAATTAATTTGAATGACTTCTTGTTTGGATGCAGATATCTGTCGTGGGATGACTATTTTATGGCAATTGCATTTTTATCTGCCAAGAGGTCAAAGGATCCCAATAGGCAGGTCATAATTTCACTTCTTTAGTACAACACTGTTATAATCTGATGATAATAGACCCAAAACCCATGTTTTTCTGGTCATGTCCCGGCGGAAAATAACAATCCCCTTCATAGTTTGTTGCTCTAACATTTTAGGCTTTATCTATGATGAGTTTATGGTTAAGGAATCATTATTGCAATGAACTAGAAAATATTGTGTTTTATTATTTTCTGAAGTGTGCAATTTTAGTAATTTTGAAAGTGATCTTGTAAATTAGAATTCTGAACTGATATTCATATCACTGGTGTAGGTTGGTGCATGCTTGGTGAGTGAAAAAGGAATTATACTTGGTAAGATCATTCAAACGTGAACTTTGCATCTAAAAGAAGATTTTTTTTTTTTTTCTTTTTTTGTATTTTCTGCTTTTGAAAGAGAAGTTTGGCATTGTTTTTTTGCTTGGTCAATACGCTTATGTTTACAGCTGATAGTCTTTAGGAACTGAACTGAAGATGGGGTATGTAAAGTAGTCTTAAGAGAATTATTTTAACTGCATTTAGACTCAATGACCAGAACAATAACATGATAACTGTTATATGGACAGTTAAAAATATTAAGCTTAATAATATTTAACAACTGTCACCTAACAAGTCATTACCTTTCCTTCTTGAATTTGGTACCATTTTTATAATTCACTCAAAACAATCAATGCTGAAGCTGTGAATATCTATTAATTATGTTTTTAATTTTGGTTATTGTAATTATCTTTCTATTGAATAGCATGTTGTTCTACTTGTTCAGGCATTGGCTATAATGGATTTCCAAGAGGTTGCTCAGATGATAAGCTTCCTTGGGCAAAGGTTCGCATGTGATACAATAAAAAGTTCTGAACGTTCTTTTTTTAAGGAAAAATTTTTAACAAATCTATCATTTCATGCTTCAGATGTCTAAATCAGGGGATCCTTTGGAGACAAAGTATCCGTGAGTAGAATTGTGGATTCTCACTCTTTATCTACTACCTACAGCCACTTTAGTTCCTCATATACATGCTTCTTCTTATTATATGCTTGAAGTATTACTTCTAGCCTTTCTTTTAATTGTTAACCAAATTTTGGGATCTTGATGATACTTCTAGTCACTTTACTCCCTGGCATCAGTAAAATATAAACAAAATTAGTTCTCTGCCTACCACGCTGGGGCTTGTGAAGATTTGGGCTAAGTTGCTCTTAGTTTTGAATAATCTGTTGCAGGTATGTTTGTCATGCTGAAGTCAATGCTATACTAAACACAAATCATGCATCTGCTGTTGGACAGGTCTGCTGCTGCTTGAAACTTTTCTGTTGATTTCTTATATGAGCATGCCAATACCATCAGCCGCCCTGACCACTTATATCTCTAATGGAGTCTAATCATAATCTCTGCAGAGGCTTTACGTGACCATGTTTCCTTGCAATGAATGTGCGAAGATAATTATACAGGTTTGTGACCAAATTTGCTTTTCGTGTATACCACATTCTAGCTTGAAAAATCCTCCTTTGTTGCCCTTCTCTTTTAATCATATTTCTTGATTCAGTCATGCTTAGCAGGCATTTGAAAAACAGTAGTCTGTTTACTTATTTGATTGGCTGGGGCTGGTAGAGGGAGAATTCCAATGACATTTTGTTTATTCATTGCTCAGGGAATACGATACGTTAAGAGATTATTTTGTTAGTTCTTGTTGACAGTGAGAGGACGTGGTTGCTGTTTATTATGAATAGGGCAGTAATTAACATAATCAGTTAATAACAACCTGAATGAATAGGGCAGTAATAAACATGGTATAACCAAAACGAGCTCAAAATGAAGACATATTTGGCTCAGAAGTTTGCAAGCAAACTCGATTTTATATACTAAGAATATTTTTTTTTTGGTTAATAGTTATATCATCATTTAACCTATGTTATTTTACTATTTAGCTTGAGCTCGAAATGAAGCTTGAATAAAACTCGAGCTTGAACTTAGCCTCTCTAAATACTCTTACCTTGAACTTGAGCCTCTCTAAATACTCTTACCTTGAACTTGAGCCTCTAATACTCTTGGCTTCAACGTGTAAGAGTTTGGCTTGGTTCATTTGTAGCCTCATAGCAGTGGAATGGAACTGGAAGAGTTGGAGAAGGCTGAAAAGAGGAAGAGTAGACAGCTTTAATCAGCACGTATGCATAAAGGTGATGGGGAATCAAGTGTCAAAGAATGTTAGCTACATCTGCTGAGCATACTAACAGGATATTCAATGAGAGAGGAATCCTGTGGAAAGATCCTGTAGTCCCCCAATGATAGTTCCCTCAAAAACCTCTCAAATGAGGTTAAAGTTGGCCAATCAAAAGAAAAAAACAAAATGAGGTTAAAGTTGAATTGGGGATCAAGTGCCTTGTCAAGCTTGTATGTGATGCTGGTGATGATGAATAAAGTGTTAGGGAATGTTAGCCTTATTGGAGGGAAATATTGCCCTTGACATTTAATGAGAAAGTCATGTATAGAGAGCGTTTAATGTCTTAGTGCTAGCTCCTTGAAAAACTCTACAAAGAAGGTGACGATGAAGTATTTTTCGGTTTGTAGAGAGTGCTATGGTACACCAATCTGACAAGTAAATGGTGTCATATTTTTGTATAAGGATGTAGGGGTTGTCCAAGTGATCTTCCTAGTTAATTTTTCCAAGAAAAGCATTTTGAACTTCTGTCGATAAATGCCTTGCCTTATTCTTTTCCCTTTTTGGTTTAACGTACGGAAAATAACAACTAAACAATCAATCTCTAGAAGGAATATTGATCCTAGCCTCTTCATGTTATTATCTTTATTTTCTTTCATGGTTAACTTGTACATGGGTTTAGTTTACTTTCATTCTTGCAGTCAGGTGTCTCAGAAGTTATATACTTTGTAGAGAAGAGGCTAAAAACAGACACAGCGTATATTGCTTCACACAAGCTGCTATCAATGGCTGGTATTAAAGTAAGTCTTGTTCTATTGTGAAATCCTCTATCAGTCTTGCTCAGTAAAGCTACCTTGTAGCCTCCTGATATATAAATATAGGCTTGTTAAACAATCATCCTGCCCAAATTGTTGGATTTCTCATCGGCCATGAATAGCACAAATGCAATTAATTGTTTTTATAATGGAGGACCTTCACCTTAAACTGACTGTACAAGCTCACATGGATGTTAGTTTCAATGCTTACTGGGGATATCTGTCTTTTCCAACTTGGTTTTTGATGCAAATCTATACTTTGCAGATTAGGAGACATCAGCCACAAATGAGCCAAATTTTAATCAAGTTTGAGGAGCTCTAGATTCGGTTATCATACCAATCATTGTTTTGCTAAACCAGAAAATGGAAAGTCCCAGTGGATCATAATTTGTTGTATTTTATGTAAGCTGTAATACCTAATTTGTAGTGAATTTACCATTCTAGACACATGATTTGTGCTTCACTCTGCAGCGATTGTGCGTAGGTTTCCCATTTTAGACCATATTGAACTTGATATGTGACATTATCAATTATTATATCTCTTAAGGGACATCTTAATGGTTAAAAACTTAAGTTTCCACGTTGAAAGACTAAAGTTCAAATCCTAGAGTGAGTGGGCAGCCGGAAAAGATTATCCGCTTATCTCCTATTATTTGCTCATCATCCAACCTACAAAAAATGAACATTATTATCATTGACAACCATTTTTGTGTTCAATTGAAATTAGAATTGTGCCAAGTCTAGCAAGTGGACGTATCTTTTTCGTTTTCTAAACCCTTCCCTACCTATTCAAGGTTTAAATAAGCTCTCTAAATTGAAGACTAAGTTCTTATTTACCGAGTCTACTGGGACTCCCCCACGCGAGTTTGATTCTTGTTATCTGATCCTAAAATAAAGTAGACGTTTTTTTTTTTTTTTTTTTTTTTTTTTTTCGCTCTGATAATTTTTCTTAACCGACAAGAGCTCTAAAATTTCAACACAAAATCTTGTGGTCATTGAGGCACAAGTTTTAGGGGTAACTATAACTAAGCCCCTATTATAATTTCAGTACAAAGCTTGTGATGAACTGTGGATGCATAAATTTTGGAATTAACCTTTAAAAGAAAAAAAAAATCATTGCCGGACAATGTACCCAAGGCTCGAAATATTTACCCAATAAGGGCATGGTTACTAACAATGGAGCATTTGAAAGGTCCTTTACTGAGCTGACCCCATAGAGAAACTAGCCATCATTCATGGAAAAAGTAGAATTGATCATTGATCAGCATTTAGGGCTTCGAGCTGCTTCCTGAGATCTTCTAGGTCATCAATAGCAGTATCTGTCGATGTACCTGCAGGGAGTTTCTGAAATTCATCTGCACTTGGGAGCTCATGAACAAAGCCTTCTGGAAGAGCATCTGAAGAAATTTAAGAAGGATGATTAGGAAAAAACAAGAACAGTCTACAAGGATGCAAAGCACCTCAGATAATGAAGTAAACTTTGAAGCTGGATACTTAGATAAATGATAAAAGACTGGTAAACTGTAAATCACATCATAATACTGAGAACTGAAAGCACGACAAGGACTCCAGGATACAAGAAAACATGTTTTCATTTGTTCCCCCAATGCTAATTTGTAACCCACTTTACAGGTCTTATAACAAAGACCTCCAGCATAATGCTATAAGGTATGGTGTGTATCAGAAAACTAATTCCAAAACTGAGTTTTCCACATGGTAAAGATAAAATCCTTACACCTAACTACAAGAGCACTATGAAGTGTCCATCAAGTGTAACGTTTGTTGCCTGCCCAAAAGAAAAGGCACTGGCAAGACATATGGCATAAGGTAAGAATTACAAGCTATGCAGGTGAGACACATCATTGGGAAACGGAACCCAAGAAATCATGAACCTTGTTCCAAGTTGTTATGTAATTATTTGAGTTGCATCTTTTTTTAAATAACATTGTGGATAGCCAATTATTCCAAAATTTTAAGCAATTGGGCTCAAGTCACATAAATTAACAAAAACATCTACAAGATAATTTCAAAAATAAATTATTGTCCACAATAAATAGTATAAGAAAGAAAGACAACCTGAACTTACAGCATCCGTCCTTTCAATCTCACTATCATCAACAACACTGGAGAAACACAAAAAAGGTAATACATGAATCAGCTGCAGCTTCCTAGAAGTAACAATATATAGTAATATGATCCAGAAACTTAACTCCAGTGCAACTATACATTACATCTTTTAATGTCACAAAATTATTGGATAAGTGTTTTTTATTCTCTAAGATGCCATCAATGGTAATTTATATGATTTGGATAAATGGTTGAGCTAGGTATGATCTATACCAAAAAATATATATTAGAATTCTGAATATGAACCACAATCTAGTAAGCAGGAAAATCTGTAGTCCATTTTCCAGAATCATGATATTCACCTTATGTTCCATTCATTATCAGCATGAAGGGGAGTTTCTGTGATTGCTGATGCTTCAGCCTCTCTCTTGGCTTTAGCTGCAGCTTCTCTGGCTGGCTTTGCAATAATGTATTCTTTCTGCAAGGGAAGAGTCAATTTTTGCATCAGAAAAAAACAAAGCGACCTGAGAAAGAAACATTCTATGTATGAAATTAACCACAGGTCAATATCTGTTTTCTTTTACCTGCCGCTCCAGACAGGCAGCATTCGAACATTGTGGATTTGGCTTCATTTCCATGGTAGGGAAGTAATCCTTAAGAGAACTGTATCCCTGAAACAAGTAACAGAGCAGATTTCAAAGACAGCGAAGTAAACCATATCAGCAACCCAACCAATTGCAGTGAAAATGGAGATGGAACATGTGCGCACACACACAAAGAGAGAATTTACCAAGTAGGGAGACACATGTCCAAATTTCAGCAAGAACTTAAGAGTATTTTGGACTAGAAGCCCAGCAACAACTCCCTGAAATATCAATTTAATATCAGTAGACATTAAGGGGAAAATGATTGAGAAATCACCAAACAAATATAGTGCATTGGAGTTCAATGAGTACTGGAATTCACATGAATAAATCAAACATTAATTGCGCTTGAGCTTGTAGCTCAATTGGTAAAATCCATGTTCCCCCATTGAAATCCCCCCACCACAATACCAAAAAAATAATAATAATAATAATAACAATAATAAACAAAACAATTTACTAAAAAATGAGTACTCTTTTTTAGTTCATAAAAAATGAGTACTCTTAATCTGCTATGTAAATTACTTCAGGTAAAAGATATGCTTTTGAGAGACAACTAAAGAAGGTTCTGAAGAACAAGTAAACTCACCATTGTAGTTGGTAGAGAAGCAGCACAAACGCCTTCACGTTTCAGTGTCCGTTCATCTACACCAGATGCTACAACCTATTATGGAAACAAAATGCATTTGACTTTCATTCTTATGTCATTTAATTAATATCTAAACACAACTCACACAAGTGTGTACACAGCAGAAATCGGACAGGTATATTTGGTTACATTCTAGATCAAAGTTATTTCACTTATCATTCAAAATAACCAATGAACGTACCAAAGGAGGTGCACAAGCAAAACAAGCAGTTTCTCCTGGAATCAGCAATTGTATATGACCTGAAACTGCATCCTCAGATACACCTGTCACAAAAAAATTTTACTGTAAGTAAAATTAAAAATTATCAAAAAAGCTAAGGGGGTTAGCCAAGGGATTGTCTTCAAAAAAAGAAACAGAATAAAATATTACAATGCAAAAAATCAACAAAACTGCAAGCAAGAAAAGTCTGGAGGTGAAATAGAATTGATCACACATATCCCTTAGGAGGAAATTTTCGTAGTAGCATTAGCCTGAGCTAATTAATGCTAGATTCACACTCTCATGCTTTCACCAAACTCAATCAATTTCAATCATAACAAAAAAAAATAAAAAATAAAAAAAAAAGTTGCTTACCAGACTCCATCCATGTTTGATTCAACTCATTGCAGGCCTGAATATCAACAATAAGTTACAACAAGGAATTCAAATAGTATAATTCATAAGAGATTAAAATGTTATATTCAAATACTAAATCCAATCAAATATACCAACCACTAACTGAAAACCATCATACAGTGCTGACAGTTTAGACAGAATAAAGTTTCCTGGACCTAGCACATAGCATTTATTACCTGGTTAACAACCATCCTTGCTTCATAATTGTCTACACAGCTTAAAACAAGATCCACTCCGCTACCTTCTTTACTTGGGCAGAATGATTTGTTTTTCAAGCTTGACATAAAGGTTTCAAATCCTTGCACTGTTGTGATATTCAATGTATAACTCTAAAGACAAAAATGAACCAGTTAACAATTAATGTAGTGAAATACATAAGCAATAACAACCTAAACTGAACTCATTTCCAATTACATGAACACACATGATGTTCAAAGTCAGAAAGTGAAATGCAATAGAAGCTCACCTCAAGTACCACATCTGGGTTAATGTCTGATAGGGTCTGAACAGCAGCATCAGTCTTTGTCATACCAACCTAAAAATAGATATCAGATAATGTAAGGCAAAGTGGAGTAGTGGACATCTAGGTTTCTCGCAACATATCAATAAGATCACTATGGTTAGTAATGTTTGAACATGTCAGTGGTTAAAAAGAAATGCTTGATAAGGGGCAATTAATCTATTCTTTACTTAATCTAATGAAGCATATCATGTCCAAATGGGTTTCAAAAATACAGAAGAGAATGTGAATAAGCACCTGCTCTGGACGAAAGAATAACCTATTCATGTTTGCTAACTCCACTTTGTCATAATCATACAACAAGAGGCGACCAATGCCACATCTTGTTAACATCTCAGCTGCAACACTACCAACACCACCAATCCCCTGCAATTTAATACAAGATTGTCAAAAACAGAATATCATGGAATTAATAATATGTATTCTAGAGCACGGTTTTGTTAAAAGAGAGAAATAGAAGGAGAAGATAAATACAGACAACAATGGCAACTGAGAACTCCCGTATCCTTTCATAGTTCTCCACAATACCCATCCTCTGAAGTGCCATAAGCCTACTGTAAGGATTGCTATCAACCACCTCAGCACTCATATCCTGCCACCCATACTCATTTCCAAGTGCATTCAGTTTTAAACCATAAACCCATAACTAGAATAACACCAACAAGAGAAGGGGAAAAAAAAGGACAAGAACCTTGACTCTTGATCGCCTAACTGGTACAGCCTTTGCAAGATCAGTGAGACGATGAACACGAGATTGCAGCTGAATCAAAATTGGAATCAAATCAACAACAAATTCGTAGATCTTAATCCCTAGAACGGGGATATGAATGCAGGTGGAAATTGCACAAAACCTTTTCGATTGAAGCATGAAGCGAAGGGTCGGATGAAGAGTGCCTGAGAGACTGAAGATCATCAAGCATCTGCTTCAATTCCACCTCCATTGCTGCTACCTCTGAAAGCTCGATCTGTCGAATTGAATCCTTGAGACGACGATGCTATATACCGTTTTTCTTCGGTGCTTTAAATTCGTTTTCTATAGAGCACCGCACGCGTTATTTTCTGGATGCAATTGCAAAGAATTTTTTTTAGGGTTAAAGACAACTGTAGTCCTCGTACTTTGTAAAAATGTTCATTACCATCCCTCTACTAACGAAATGTTCAATGTCATCCCTCTACTTTTCTTACACCATAAATGTCATCCCTCTACTATACTTTTTTTGTTCAATGTCATCCTTAATTGGATACCATCCATTTTGCTGTTAACTTTCATCGTTAATTGCTTAACGGTCAAATATTCAACTTTTGTTTATGAATTTTTCTAAAAGCATATAGTAATGATACTTTTTTGTAATAAATTTGTATAAAAAAATATAAAAGTAAACATTAATTTTAATGTTATTGTCATGTAAATAAATTTAATTAAATAGTTAATAAATTAAATATTACCTTTTATTTTTTTAAAACTTTTAATTGGTGCCATAAAAACATAAATTAAAATAACCCTTAAGACACATTAGAATAACGTTTTGTTTATTAATTTTCATAAAATTGTCTAACATCTAGACTTGAGCATTTTTCCTTCGTCACTAATTAAAGCAATACAATAGAAAATTATTTGGATTGGACTGACCCCGAGATTTATAGCACAATTTAACTTCTATTAATTAATTTTTTATCCACTAACATAATTTGTTAACTCTTTATTAAAATAAAAAAAATATTTATAAGACCAATTATCAAAAATTAAAAATGTAATAATTTAATTCCAAAAGTTTAAAAAATAAAAAAAAAATTAATAACTTAAAAATAATTAGTAATTGATTTTATCACATATATGAGAACAATGTTAGATATCTACAATTAGATCCAGTGATTAACCCAATCTAACTAAAGGAATCTAATAAAGATTAAAAAAAATTTCTTGGCTATATTTTTCTGGTCTTTTAAATTTTTTATCTTAATTCAATAAAGAAATTTTCCTTAATTTCAATCGAAATTCTTTCTCCAAATTAAGCTAGTTCCTCTTTTGATTATAAATATCTAATACTATTTTAGTATATGTGAAAAAGTCATCTATTAATTCTTTTTAGTTTACTAATTTTTATAATTTTTGAACTTTTAGAATTAAATTGTTACATTTTTAATTTTTACTGATTAATCCTATAACTATTTTATTCCAATTTTAACAAAGAATTAATACATTCCGTTAATTTAGGTGCTAAAGCTAGAAAGAATAATATAAAACCAAAAAAAATAAAGAAATTGGTCCCACTAGTCTCACTAGGTGGGTACAAAAATTAATAAACAGAGGGTTATTCTAATTTGTATCTTAAGGGTTATTTTAATTTGTGTTTTTAGGGTACCGGTTAAAAGTTAAAAAAAAAGTAATATTTAATTTATCAACTGTCTAATTAAATTTATTTACGTGACAATGACACTAAAATTAATATTTACTTTTATATTTTTTTATACAAATTTATTACAAAACTGTATCATTAATATGTGCTCTTAAAAAAATTCATAAATAAAAGTTGAATATTTGACAGTTAGTCAATTAATGGTCAAAGTTAACAGCAAAATGGATGGCATCCAATTAAGGATGACATTGAACAGAAAAAGGATAGTAGAGAGATGACATTTACGGTGTAAGAAAAGTAGAGGGATGACATTGAACATTTTCTTAGTAGAGGGATGGTAATGAACATTTTCACAAAGTACGAGGACTACAGTTGGCTTTAACCCTTTTTTTATCATATAACTGCTTTATAAAATAGAACTGTACAGTTTATTTTTTAAAATTATTTAAATATTTTTAATAAAATAATATAAATATCAAATTAAAAATATATAAATAATTTTATAAAATGAATTGTATATAATCTATTCTATAAAATATATTTTTTTTAATTTTAAATTTAAGGTTTTGAAGTTCTAATTGGCAAGGAGTCAAAAACTTTTAACTTAATAACATAAAGAGATAAACTGCTTACTATAATCTTTATTTTATTTTAGGTTGCAAAATGAAACAACCGTCTCAGACCTCCCTCACGGTCTTAAAGACTTAACCCATCCATTGCACCTTTCGTGCTACTGGAACTTAATTTCTCTAGTTTATTGAAAAAAAAAAAAAAAAAATTAGAGAGGAGCCTAAGATACCCGAGTTTTATTATTGGAAGCCCATTCAGAAACATTGGGCTCTCAAGAAATCTCATTAAGAATCGGGCTCCAAGTTCAAGCACCTCGGCTAGTGTTTGTTGTTGGCCCACAATAAGCCTCTGTTTAGATAAAAATTAATAAAAAGAAAAAAAAAAAAAAAAAAAAGGAAGAAGAAGGGAGGCGAGGAGAAAAATATTAATATTGGTTTTGTTTGGAATATATAGAAGTAAATGAGATAAAAGAATAATATTTTTATTTAATTAAATAATTTTAAAAATAATAAAAAATAAAATTTTTAAAATTTATCAATTAAATAAATGATTGAAACATAATGTTTATATACTTATTTTTTAAAAAATAAAAATAAAAATAAGTTAAGTAATGTAATTTATCTCAATCTTTTCAAATCGAAAAAATTGAAAACAAAGGAAGGGAAGAGGCTCTAATTTTCCTCCATTTCTCTCTCCTTTGTTAAAATTATTAATTTGAACAACTAAAATGCCCTCTCCCTCTCACTCTCCTTCCCTTTCGCGCCAACTCCCCTAATCCAAATAGAGCGTAACATTCATTGATGTCATTCATTTCTCCTACAATATTACTTTCTTTATTTTAAAATAATAATTATTTTTTTTATATTTTCCTTAATTAAAAGAGAGAATTTTGTTATTAGATAATTAATAAAAATAAATAATATTTCTTTTGTTTATTTTTAATAAACTTAATTTAACTTTTTAATTTTTTAGATATAAATTTTAAATGAAAATTTAACAACTTATGTTAACAACAATTAAAAAAAATTTCTTCTAACATCAAATTCTTGTTGAGTATTTTTATTTGATTAAAAATAATTTGATTATTATTTATATAATATATTAAATTTTCATATAAAATTTATATATGAAAAGTAAAAAAATCAAACCAAATTTACAAAAAATGAATTAAGAAATTAAAAAATAAAGTATGGAAAATATATTTGTTTACTTTAAAAATGAAAACTCAACAATTAAATAGAACAAATTAAAAATAAAAAACGATAGTTATTTAGGACAGATAGAAAATAGAAGGACAAGGCTTCCTTCCACCATGCTTCCCACCAATTTTTTTTACATGATATCTTATTTAAAAATATAAATTTATTATTATTAATTAATTTCAATTAATTTTATGTACTTTTACTAATTTTAATTAAAATTTTATATACTTTTAGAATGGTAAAAAAAATTAAAAAAATTAAAAAATAAAAACCTTATGCCTATAGCACAATGTTTACAAATGAAACCTTATTTCTTGTTGCGTGCAAAGTGATGCTGAAACATTGAACAAAAAGGGTTCTAGTTGCCTTGTTTGCATTGACTTGGATTTTGGGGACTTTTTCTCATACGAACAGGCCAATTAATTATAATCCTTTATAAAGGAAAAAAGTGATGTTGACATATGATATTATTATTACACCTTTAATTATTAATGTCACACTTTTTAATTATAATAGATTATTATATTTTTTAATTTATTAAGATAAAAAAAATACATAATTTAAAATATATAATATAAAAGTATAATAAATAATTATATTAAAAAATTATAATATTAATTATTTAAGATATAATAATAACCCCACTCAGTGTTCCCATCTTAATTATGTAAGTAAAAAAGTGTCTTTTATACTAATAATCTAATCAATTACCCTCAGCTCTTTAAATTTTGGGGACATTTTCAGGCAAAGCTAATACAAAATTAATATCATCTCATAATTAACAATTAATAAGTACATAAAGTTGCACCTGATGCTTGAGACCTACTAACAAAAACCAACCGGTGCATTCTTCTTACCGGACAGGTTCGAAACCCACCCCTTACAAAATATGTTAAAAAAAAAAAAAGTACATAAAGTTGCAGTACTCTTGCATACGACTTTTATCCATTATTTAAATAAAATCTTGACATTTGTCTCTTTCGTCTAAATAGTAAAAAAGATATTATTTTAAAAAAAATTAAATAAAAATTAAATAAATTTCAATAATTTATAATAAAAAAATAAATAATTAAATTTTACTATATAAATAATATGAATAAAAATTGTGTGTATATCCATAACATCTAATTCGACGTTAATATTCTCTCAAGTGACCTTATAAGTCTGTTTGATTTTCATTCCCGCCGACGATTTGTTTTCTAGACAGCAATGGGCCATCAACAAAATGGCTGGACACTTGATTATCAAAATCTAGTGTTATTGTCACCAACTGATTTGTTAAAGTTGTTAAAATTATATTTTATTTAATTAATATTTATAATTATATTTATAATATAATTTATAAATTAATTTTAATTTATTAAAAATATAATTATTAATTATTAATTTTTTAATAATTAAATTAATATTTTTTAACACAATTTTAATAATTAAAAAAAGAAGAAGAATCAATGGCATAACCATACCTTCAAGTAATATAAGCAATTATTTTATAATATAATATTTTTTTAGAGAAGGTATTTATTCACACATAACTTTTATATATTATTTTTATATAAAATCTTAATTAGACTTGGTAATTTTTTATCAAACCCGCTAACCTGTTCATTACCCGCCCGTTTAAAGCAGGTTAGGGTTATCTATTTATGACCCGCAACCCGTTAATGACCCATTAAGAGAACTTGACGGGTCATGGGTCAATAACAGGTTGACCCACCAGGTTAACAAGTTTAACACGTTTACCCGTCTAAAAATTTAAAAAATTTTAATTTATTATTTACTTATTTTATTTTTCAATTCCCAATCTCACCTAAACCTCTAATAATTGATTAATTTTCTCTAATTAGCTAATTGATTCTCTTAACTCATCATCTTCT